GGGACTCCATGGGTGCCACGCCGCTGGCATTAGAACCAACGCATCAGCAGCGCAGGCGATCAGGACAGTTACAAACCATTTTAACCGTCACCTCCCAGCCCCGGGGCCGCCGGGACCTGCTGCTGCAGGTGGAGAGAGAGACAGTAACGGGCCACGAGCTGGTGCTTCCGAAGCAGAAGCGAGGAAAGGCGGGTGGCTCGCCTGGACACCACCGTGGACCCCCGTTTCCTGACGGCCCGCCGAGGTGGTCCCCCACGGTGGTCCCCCACCAGCAGCGGCGTCTCGGTGCGGGGTCCGCGAGGCAGACAGACACCAACCGCCTCCCGGGGAGTTCCCGGTGAAGACCGGTCCTCCCAGGTCCTACGTCAGAGCCCGACACCAGCGTGCAGGACAGAAGTTAATGCGATCGGGTGCCTTTCTCTTCAGACTAGACGACTCCCGTGACGCCCGGGGGCCTGGGGGTCGCTGGCTGTCCGGAGGTGTGTGATCACGGGACAGCAGCAGGGGGCGCTCTCTTTACCCGGGCGGAATGAGCTGTGGGGCCGCCCGGCCCCCTGCGCACCATGGGCATCGCCGCTGTCCTCACGCCGGCCCTTGGGGGCCCGCTTGCGGGGTGTGCCCACGTGCACAGGCCACCGCGGGGACAGCAGGGACCGCCCCCACCGTCGTGGCCCTGAGCGCCCTCGCGGGTTCCGTTTGGGCTCCGCTGGCAGCGGTGGAGCAGGCCGGGCAGGTGCAGGTGGGTCAACAGCTGGAGAGCTTTCCGGGCCGCGAGCTGACGCTGCGTTCGTTTTCAAGAGGAAAAATATGAGCCGGGGCCCCGGCCCCGGGGGGAGGCTGAGGGGACCACCACTGGGTGCCGTCGGGCAGACGCAGAATCTGGGAGGCGGGCAGCCTTTCCCGGAGAGATCTGCGTCTTCGGCGGTGGGTCTCCCTTCCTGCCGGCCTGGCCGCGCCTCCCCCCCCCCCCGTGTTTCAGGGACCGTCATCAGGGAGGGAGAGGAGGGACCCTCACCGCCGGCCCCCTTGCACGCGCACTGACTGGTTTAAGGAGCCCGGCGGGCGGCTGCCCGGCTTCCGAGGAGCCGGCAGCTCTCGGGGGCTTCAGAGCGCAGCACTGGGTGCCTCCCACTCTCAGGGGCCAGGCTGGCTCCGTGTTCCCAGCGCCCGCCCCTCGGTCCCGGCTGGAGCCTGCAGTTTGCCAGCCTGTCCCGGGTGGCGGCGGTCCTGCCGAGCCGGCAGCTCCCCGCCCCCCCCCGCCCCGTGTGGACGCGTGTGAGCGCCTCCCCTCCCACACCCTCCCCCCCTCGACCCGGGGGAGTCAGCGGGCCGCCGATGGGGCGCACAGGGACAGCAGAGGCGGCGTCCCCACAACTCTGGCCAGAGCATCTCCTGCTCTGACCGAGGGTTTCGTTTGGAAGCCATCCGCAGGACAAGCGGGTGTGACCTCGCACTCGGGAAAGTGCCAGGGCTGGACCGTGGGCCCCGTCGGGGTGAGTTCCGAGGAGGGAACCGCCCGGCTCCGAGGCCGGTGAGACGAGTCGCCCCCGGGGGTGACTCTGTCGTGTGCCAGCCGACGGCCCCTTGGTGGCCGCGGACCCGCTGTCAGAGGGGGAGGCTGCTCGCTTGCACCGCGTCCCGTCTGCAGCGGCCGCGTGGAGACCTTCCCAGAGCGGCACCTCGAGGAGGAACCGTGGAAGGGACCGCTGGGAACTTTGAGGGAGGGGAAGGGGCCACTGATGACCTCAGGTGGCTCGGGCCCGTGGCATTGGGGGGGACGGGGACCCAGAGACCCTGGTTTCCAGTCACGGTGGCCAGAGACCCGGCGCCCATCGCCGGCTGGGACGGGAGGAGCACACGGACACAGCTCAGTGATCTCACACACCAGCCACCCCGGTGTCCCATCCGGTTGGGGAGGGGGAGCCCCCACTGACGCCCCAGGGCGGACGTCCACAGGCTGTGAGCGCAGGGAGCGCGGCCCAGGGGACAACCCCCCACCTCCGCACCGCAGACCCGTGACTGGGCGATGCCCCACCTTCACAACTCCGGAGCAACCCAGGGCAGTTTAGGGTGTTCTTAAAAATTCAAGGTCACCCCATGGACACGGGCCTGGGCTCCGTCCCGGCCAGCAGCGCGGTGGCGGCCGGCGGGCCTGGCCTTACAGTGGGAGGCTGCCCCCGGCGTCCCTCCGTCCTCGGACCCCCGTTTCACAGACCGCCCTGGGCTCTTCGGGTCACAGAGCTTCCGAGACGGCAAACAACTGCCGGCAGCACTTTCGGGATACCGGAGCGAGTGAGGCCGGGGAGAGCGCGCCGACCCAAGCGTGGCGTCTGGGCTTTGGCGCTGCCAGCAAACCCGAACCCCAAACCGCCCCTCGGCTGCCCCCCAGCCCCGACCCCCCAGCCCCGACCCCCCAGCCCCGACCCCCCGACAGCGAGCGGCTCGGCCTCTGACCTGCGTGCGCGCAGAAACCTGCACACCGGCTCCCGGAGGGACACCCTCAGGGCGGCAAACTTCTGTTCTGAGGACATTAAACAAATTATTTCCTTAAGATCATATGGCAGATCTATAATTAATTAAACCCACCATGATATCAAGGCAAAATAATTTCGCTCTTCTAAAAAGGTAAATGTAATTTGCCGATCTGGTATTTGGAAGAATGCTTTGCCCGAAACCAATTCCTTTAGTTTCTAGAGAATAGAAACGAGAGGCAATCTCGTTTTAATTATATCTCTTTATTGCTAACAAAGGAATGATTTATGCAATTAAATTAACTGGCTAGAAAATCGCCCTCAGCCGGGCTGTCCCGGTCCCCGGCTCTGCGATCGCAGGCCCTCGCGCCCGTGTGCAGATTAATTTTTCTGATAAGCACACGAGGCCCCGTGTGCGCCTCCCGAGCTTTATTCAGAACCCCCTTTTCTTCCTCCTGCCGACGACATGAGTAACACTTGTTGAACTGCTCGGCTCTGACTCGCTTTCTTCTCTTTTAATGTTAAAAAGATAAAAAAAGATCTTTTCTTTCCGGCCTCGTTGTCCCGGCGCGGAGCGAGGTCCGGGCCTCCCCGCAGTCCCGGAGAAGCCGCCGATGTTGGGAGACAGCGACCATGTCCCAGCCACGCTGTCGGGCTCGGTCCGGGGGGGCCCAGAACTGGGTGCCGTGAGCAGACACCCCGGGGGCCGTCCTTCCTCCTCGTCCCCTCGCCCCCAGCCTCCAGCCTCCCCACCCGCCTGAGGTCCTCCCGGCCCCTCAGGCGGTTCCCGTTGAACCGAACCAGCGGCAGAGGCGGGCGCCCTGCGCCATGCCCGCGCGGTGTCAGGGCCGCGTCACACGGGCAGCCGATGTGTGCAGAAGCTGCCGGACACGGTGCAACAAGCCACCTCACGCCAGAGTAAGGGGCCCCCCCTCCCCAAGAGCAGCGGGGGCTGCCCGCCGTGGGGGCGACGGTGCAGACGGCGGTCGGCCTGTGAATCTCTCCATGGACTATGAACTGGGCGGCGGCGCGTGGGTGGCCGTGATCACGTGCGACTCAGGGTGGGGGGGTGGTCTGTGCCAGACGTCTCCCCTAAAGGAAGTCGCGTGCCCCCGTGTGCGGTCGTCAGGCCGAGGTGTCGGTGGCTGAGCGTCGCCGCCCTGCGATGGGCGGGCCTCCGAGACCCGCACGGCGGCCGGCGGGCAAGCGGTGGTTGGGCGCGTGTTTCAGGGAGATCTGCGTGGGGCCGAGGCGGGGGCGACCTCACCGTCCCACCAGAAGGGAGGGAGGCACACGGAGAGAACGAGAGCATGGGCTGGGCGAGGCCTGGGTCCAGTCCCACGTGAGCTGCTCACGTGCTTTAGTCCAAGCCGGAAACCCGGAACCAGCACCGGCCGGGGGACAGTCTGGGGGAACAACCCGGAAAAGGTAAAACAGGGTCGGGCTGGGAGCTCTGGAGGCCAACGCCCCGTCGGAGAGCCCCTGAAGGAATGCCAAGGTGCCAGGTTGGAGCTGGTCCACGCAGACGGGCGGTCACTTGCTCCTCCCTGCCCCCTGCGTCGCTCTGACCGCCTGGTCGCTGCGGCGGGGGGGTCTCAGACCCGTGTCCCGGGGGCAGCGGGGGCAGGAAGACGGCAGCGTCCCCCGTGGAAGGGGGAGCACCAGCTTAACTGAAATGGGCGGCAGGACGCGAATTCGAGAAGGAACTTCCCATACAGCTGCTCTGGTCGCCCTAAAGCCGGGAGACGTCCCGTGCGACTAGAAGGTGCGTGAGCTTCCGCCCGCAGGGCGCCCGTCGCAGCCCCCCGGCTCTGGGCCCAAGTGCACGGCCCCCGGGACGTGCCGCTGAACGTGTGTGCCCTTGCGTGCCGGCAGCGCAGGAGCCGCACTCGCCAGGGGCCCGAGGTCCGCCTGCCTCACGGTCGGGCTCGGCCCGCACCCCCGGCCTGGGCTCCACGCCCACGCTGGCGACCAGCCTGCCTGCCCACACAGCCCTGACGGGCGTCGTTTCCAAGGAGGTTCGGGGGGGAAATCTAGGTTTTCTAGGCTATTCAGCCAAAGCAGCCAGACGGAGGTTTGAGTGCGGGAGACACGGAGGGTTTCCGAGTCAGGCGAGGACATCTGGACGGCGGTGCGTTCCACCCCAGGAGCAAAGCACGGCCTCCCGTCTCTCAGTGCGACCGAACTGGATCTCACTCAGGTCCCTGCGGTGTCCCTCACCTTTCAGAGCAGGGGTCAGACTCGTTCTCCCCGGGGGAGAGCAGCCTCGCGGGGGCCTTCAAAGGGCCAGAATGACCTCAGGACTGCGCAGATGTGACCCCTCCTCAGGGAGCTGAAGTCACACTCAGCCCCTTGAAGGCGGCCACAAGGCTGCTGCGGCCCCGGGAACGTGAGGCTGACACCCGTGCCAGCGGGGGAGTCCTCACCTCCTGGGCTGACTTCGCTCCCCGGTGTTCCACGCTTCCCGAGGCGGCTGCGAGGGGGCTCCCCCCGACGGGGCGCAGGAGCCGACAGAGGGGCGGCCAAGGCGCAGGCAGCTGCAAGACTTTATTGTGACACCACAGGGTCTGCACCAGACACACCGCCCCACAGGCCACCACCAGGGGGCGCCACCACCTGGGGGTGCCACCACCCGGGGGCCACCCGAAAACAGCCTCCTCGGCACTGTCCACTCCCCCCGCCCCCGCTGGCCCCAGTCCTGACAGGACGGCCCTCGCGCGCCCGTCAGGCCGGCAGCCTGGACAGCCTCCTCTGCAGCTCGGCGGCCCGCTCGTCCAGCTCCGCGCGGCCCTCCTGCGCTGCCCTCTCGACGCCCTCGTGGTACTTCTCCAGGGCCCCCCTCAAGGCCAGAAAGATCTCCTGGAGGGAAGGAGAGGCGGTCAGTCGTGCGGCGACCCCAAGGAACCGGGGGCCGCGAGGATTCCGTGGGGCTCGGCCACGGCTCTGCGGCCCCACGTCCCCCGTGCACGCCCGTGCCCACTGCCACTGGCCCCCGCCCTGCGGCCGGGCGGCACGCCGGCCAAGTCACCCCTAAGGCCGGGGCCCGAACGCCGGCGAGAACGCACCACTGCCCACACGCCCCAGGAAGCGCCTTCTCGTCGGCACCCACAGGGCCGGACCCGGACGCAGGGGCAGGCGCCTGTGCGAGCACCTCGAGGCCCCACAACTGGGACGGGAGACGAAGCATCAGGAAAACAAGCCAGCAGAGTTTTAAAGCTTTGGTTCCTAACTCTGGTAGGAAAGTGCGGTGGACTAGTTGCCAGCACGTGTAAGTGCCCTTTTAAAAAATTAGCATGTTCAGCACCTGCTATCAATTTAGGTTCTATAGGTGTGTGTGTGTATATATGTACGTGTGTGTGTGTGTGTGTGTGTGTGTACATACACTAGAGAAGCAGCTGAAACCACCTGGTGGGAAGCGATCCTTCCTGGCCAGATAGAGGGGCAGCTGGTGCCCGTCCGAACCAGCGGTCCCCCGGGGCCCAGCCAGCGGCACCCCTGTGCCAGAGGGACCTCCCCCGCGTCCCGGGCAGCATCTCAGACGCGCAGGCACCGGGGATGAGAAACGCTTCTGAGGTCCTCGACCGGGAAAAAACGCGGGACCGCCGTGGACTCCGGGCACCGGCTGCTGTCGGGAGAGGCCAGCGGGGCGAGGGGCGCGCAGACCAGCCGGCGCCCGGACGGTGCCAGCCGCAGCACGGGGCCTGCCCCGGTGGCCCGTGTGGACCCGAGAGGCGGCCCGCGCCCACTCCTTGTCGGCTCTCACCTGGGACCTCAGCTTCTCCCTCTCGGCCGTCTCCCTCAGCTGCTGGATGGCGGAGCGGACCTTCTGGATCTCCTGGTTGGTCGCGGTTATTCGCTCGTAGACGGCCCCCCTCTTCTCCTGGACTTTACTGCAGTCTCTGGAGGGGGAGAGACGGCCGGGCTACCACCCCCTGCAGCGCCTAAGGCGGCGACGCCTCACTCTGACGGCCACTACAAGGTGGGCCTGGGTCTGGCGCCCGCTTCTCTGGGCAAACGGCGAGCAGAGGGAGACCCTGGGGTGGCGTGACTCAGGGTCCCGCGCCCGTGGGCCACACGGGGTCTTGCGGCCACGGCCCCTGCCCGGCGTGCACCCGCCTGGTGTGCACCCGCCCAGTGTCGGCGGGCCTGGGAGTCGGCGCAGCTTGGCCGCCGCACAGCCTGTCCCAGAACCCAAGGCCCCAGGGGGCTCTGCCCTGTGCTCCACCCGCAGGAGGGAGGATGAACAAGGGAAATCAGCCCTCGCCCCGGGCGCACCCTGGAGAGGCTCACAATGGCGTCTCAGCCGCCCCGGGGGCCTCGACTGTGCTAGACGCTCAGTCTGAGGCCACGGGGTTGGGGCGGGGGGACCCCAGCAAACAGATGACGAGGACAGATGTCAGCGCGGTTCTGATCTGCACACAGGGGGCAAGACCTGCTCTCAAAGCGCAGGCTCCACGGGGGCTACAGCCGGCGGGACTGGGCGGTGGACCCGCCGGGCGACGTGGCAGACCCCCGGGCCCTCCGGGGGGTCACGCGGATCCCGGAACCGTGACCCCTGGCTCGGAAACCTCTCTGAGCCTGGACGCGCCCCGAGAGCCCCGCGGACTGGGGCCCCGAGGACGGGGGCCGTACTCGATCACCGCGCGCTTGTACTGCTTGGCGTCCTCGTGCTTCTGGCGGGCCCTGAACTGCAGCGTGGCCAGCCGCTCCTTCTTGGCGTTCACCAGCCTGCGCAGGGCGTTCTCCTCCGCCTTCAGCTTCTTCAGGTCCGACTCGCCGCTCTCGATCTGGTCCTCCAGGTGCAGGCTCTGCGGGCCACGGGAGGGGCTCAGGGTCCCGCAGCCGGGGAGGGCGTGCCAACCGGATGGATGGACGACCGCCGTCCGGGAGACGCCGCAGGTGAGGGCTGCGGCCCCGACCCGAGACGCGGCGGCACATGCCCGGCACCCGCAGAGGCTCACGGACTGCACGGCAGTGGGTGCCGGCGGGGGGGGGGGGGGGCACACGCTGAGGCTCGGGCGGCTCGTGTCGCTGCTCCATCAGCGAGGGTGGGGGCGGGGCACATGTGAGACCCACCGCGGGGGAGGGGGGCCCAGAGGGGTCGGAAGCGGGGACCCCCACGCTGTCCCCGCCAGCCACGCAGCGGGGGACAGACACCCCGGGCATCACCACACTCCAGCCCCAGGCCCCTCCCACAGGAAGCCGTGTCCTGTGACGTCACGGTGACCGCCCCTGGGGACAGGCGGGTGAGGACGTAAGGGGGGAGGGGGGAGAGGGTTTTCCAGTTCCCGGCCTGAGAGCCTGAGCGGCCTGAGAGCCTGAGCGCGCGTGGGCCCTGGCTCCCGGCCTGGTCAGTCCCAGGCCGCGCCAGGCATCTCGTGGGCCCCGGTGCACGCTGTTGGGAGGGTCACCTCCGCTGTCTGCGTGAGTGGAAACCCCCCGCTTCCTCCCGAAACCCGGGTCAGAGACAGCCCTTCTGCCCCGCACACGGGCGACTGGGGCGGCCCTGCCTCTCCTGGCGACGGCCCGGGGGACCGCAGCCCACCCCGGATGGACGCGCACGCCCCCACGGGGAGGGAGCAGGAACCCACCTCCTTCAGGACGCCGGCCAGCCGGTCCCGGTTCTCGGCCAGGTCCTGGATCTTCTTCTGGTACAGCTGCACCTCCAGCTGGCAGGACGGCAGCCCGTCCACCGAGTCGCGGTAGAGCTCGTACTTCTCCATGACCTCAAGCTGCGGGGGGAACGCAGGGCCCGGTGGCGGCCTCGCCTGGGGGCTGCCAGGGGTCGGAGCACCACACGAGTGTGACCTCTCGGGGGGACCCACCCGGGCTCGTCACAGTGACCTGGGAGACTCCACGTCCGCCCACACCCAGCCGCCCCCGAGGGCTCCGGCCCCCACGGCACCACCACGCACTGACGTGGCCTCGGTCCTCTGTGAGGACAGCTCCTCCCGCTCCTCCCTCCCCTCAAACCAGGACAGCCGCCGCGGACAGAGGAGGGCAGCATGCCCCCGCGGCCAAGCGCGCCCCCGCCCCGGCCCCAGGGGGTGGGGGGGCGTGTGGTTGAACGAGGGACTGGCCCCCGTGAAAAGGAGACCCACCCTGGAATTTTTGAGCTTCTGCACTGTGTCTTTCATTTTCTCCTTGTAATTCTTCAGCTTCTCTGGAGAATCCACCACTTTGGTCTTCAGACCCTCTTGCACTTCCTTCAGGGACACCACGGACAGTTTCAGCTCGTTCTGGGAGGAAACCAAACACCGTTCTGTGTCGGCGGCAACAAGAAACTCGGCGACTTCCCATCGCAGGATCGGGCCAGACGGGAGAGGCTGGCCCCCCGCACGCTGTGTGGGGGGAGGCCACGGGAGGGGCACCCAGCCACGGCACACACGGTTCCGTGCCCCGCACACACCCTCTGCACCCTTGGTGCCGCCCGCACGGAAGGGCGCTCTCACCAGGTGCTTGGCTTTCTCCGACAGGTCGGCCTTCTTCTGGGCGTTGCGCTCCTGCAGCAGCGTCTGAGGGGAGAGCGAAGGACCGTTTTCCGACGATGCGGAGCGAGGTGTCAGCGCTGCCTCCGCGCTTCCTCGCAGAGCAGAGACGGGAGTCGGAGGGTCAGACTCCGCTCGCGAGGCCCCGGCCCCACGTCCACAGAGGTGCACGAGCACCCACGTGCTGACGCCTGGGAGCCCCAGCTGGAAGCGGGCGCTGACCTCCCCTCACCCTAGACACACAGGACGGCCACGTGGGCGCGCACCCCCTGGGCCCCGGAGCCGCACACCCCAGACGCAGCCCACGGGCGCCCTGCGGTGCTGCCCCACGAGGACTTGCGCACGGCGCCCGCCACCCGTCATGGCGAGTGCCGAAGGCCGGGGCTCGGCTCAGACAGCAGGGAGCGGGGCTCAGGCTGGACCCGAGCGCACGTGGGCTGCAGCTCGAGCAGTGCGGGACGGACAGACAGACCCGCCCTCCCCGGTTCCCTGGAAACGGTCCAGTGCCCAGAAGCCCTCGGGGGCTGGCTGCAGTGCCCAGGGGCCGGCGCAGTTGAGGACAGCAGGGCTGGGCCGAGGACAGCCCTCAGAAGTCCCCGTCCCCAGAGAGCGTGTGACTTGGGCACCACCAGCGACACGGCGGTCGGACGGGGCTGACGGAGGCGCGTGCCCCTCGGAAGAGCCCCAACAGGCGAGGTGGTGACGGTGGTCCATCACGGAGCACGCAGCCCCCGCCCCCAGGAACGGGCCGGCCCAGAGCTGAGGTCTCCAGCGACAGGTACCGTCTTCTGCCGGAAGTCCTGGTTCAGCAGCTGCTGCAGCTCCTGGATCTCCTCGGACAGCTGCTGGAACTCCGCCTGCTCCTCGGCTGGAACGGAGCTGAGCAAAGGGTGGGGTCACCACGTGCCCCCTGGGCCACAGACGCACTCCCGCAGCCCCTGCCCTCAGATCTCCGAGGGGACCACTCCCCGCCCTCCCCGGCGGCACCAGCAGAGGCCCCGCCCGTCCCAACCTCGCCCACGGGAGGGCCCCAGCGCTGCTGCTCTGATTTCCTCTGTTCCTCTCCCACTCACTCGAGCTTCTCCAGTCTCGCCAGCGCCTCCTGGTGGGCCGTGTTCAACTGCTGCATCTTGTCCACCGAGGATTTCTGCAGAGCGACCCCAGGGACTCCCCGTTAGTGCTTCTCCACCACGGTCAGGGGCGCGCCGAGAAACCACCGGCCGGTCCAGCCTGCAGCTCCCTCACCACGACTCCCGCCGGGGTGGGGGGAGGCCCACACATGCAGGCTGACACGGAGCCCGGCCGTCCGCAGCTCGGCCCCCTCGGAGGGGCAAACCCAGGAATCGAAACCGCAGCACAGCTGTCACAGGGCCCAGGACGCAGGGCCCAGGATGCAGGGCCCAGGACGGTGGCATCCGACTCAGCCGAGGTGACGGCTGGGGGAGCGTCACAGAGGGCGTCGGGCTGCACCTCACAGACGAGGAGGAAGCAGCCAAGCTGCGTGCGCACATGTGGGCTTGGAGAGCACGCGGCGCCAGGGGGCACGGGCTCAGCGGGACCCCTGCGAGGGCGTGCCCACTGACCCACGGCCCCGCGCAGCCGGGGCGCGAGTTCTGACCACCTGGGCCCCGGGCTCCTCTGAGGCCCCCGCCCCAAGCGCCTGACTCGTGACGGAGCGAGTCTCTCTGCCGTCCACCGGGGCTGAGCCGTGCAAATGCGTGACGCCGACCAGCGCAACACACGGAGCGAACCCCCGCGGGGCCGTCACTCAGAAGCAAGCACAGGCCTGGGGCCTCGAGGGCCTCAGGAACTCTGCCGTCACCCCGCCCGCCAGGCAGGGAGAGACGGGCCCCTCCGTTCCCCTCCCTGCGCTTCCAACGCGGGGACGGGCACCTCAGGCGCGAGACCGGAGCGGGAGACCCGGCCTCCGCCCAGCGCTGCCCCGTCTCAGAGAGCCTCACTCGGAGACGCGCCGGGGACAGAAACCTGCGTCCTCCTCGAGGTCAGGGCCGTCCGGCTCGTGCTCACCGGGGGCCACAGCGGCCTCGTGGTGGCCGTCAGAGGGCCAGGCGCAGTTTCAGCTCCGAAGAGTGGAGGGGCGGCCCCACCCGTACAGCCCTAGAGCTATTCCAGCCTGGGAGGGGCAGCCGGAGGCTGGTGCGGCCCCCGGTGGGCACGAGTGTGACGCCCCCGCTCAGACGTGAGAAGGAACTCGGCTCCCCCACCACGACGAGCCGTCCGTGAGAACCGCTTCAGACAGCCCACAGCCCACAAATGACACCCCTCACCCGCTGGGGACCCCCACCCCGAGGGCTCACGTATTGCCAGAGGAACTCCAGGTACGTCTCCCGGCACGCCTCCCGGAAGTGGATGAAGTTGATGATGCCGCTCAGGAACCGGCAGGTCCGCTTGGCCTCTGAAACACAGGCCGAGGCTCTCGCGTGGGTCCTGGGGACAGCGCAGGGGGGACAGCGCGGGGGGACCCCTGGCCCACCACGGCTCTGCCCATGGGACAGAATGAAGCTGGGTGTGGGCTGCGCCCTCCCAGGGCCCAGAGTTCGCTCCACGACCCTAAGACCAGGGTTCCCCTCGCGCCCGCGACCCAAGAAGAAGCGAACCACTTCCGGCCCGGAGGGCAGGACAGGGGCCGATCCCCCCTCGCCCTTGACCGGCCAGAGCGCCGGGACCCCGACTGCGGGCAGGTGGCCGAGGACAGCAGCCCCCAGGAGAACCCCGGGGCACTCAACCCCGCGGACTGTGAACAGCTTTTCTGCTGGACGACATCCGGCGCCAGGGTGGAAACCCGCCCACCTCCCGGGGGGACGCCCCTTCCGCAGAGGGGACACTCACTCGGGTACAGGATGTCTGCCGTCTCGAAGTCGTTCACGCGGCAGATGGGCAGGAACGAGTTCCTGGAAGGGGCGGGGGAGAGAGGGATGCTCAGCAGCGCGTCGTGCGCCACACCCACCACCGAGGCAAGAACCACCTTCCCGTCAGCGAGAGCCCTGGCCGCGTGCGTCCTCCACGCAGAAGGCCACTCCCAACGCCCACTAGGAAGCACCGAAGGACGCCTCCTGCCCAGCACCCAAGTGCACACCCAGCTGCAGCGAAGACCAGAGACAACGCACAGGTGGGCGGCTCGGGGCCATGCCCGTGGGTGGACACTGCCGTGGGTGGGCCGGGAGCTGTGTGTGCCAGGTGTGTGCCGTTCTGACCATAGTCGGGGCAGGGTGGGGCGGGGCGGGGCGGGGAGGAGGACGACAGGAACTCCCCCCCAACGGAGACCACGCCGTCGTGAAGACAGCCGAGCGTCCCGGGGACAGGCGGGCTGCGGAAGGGAAGGCCACCCCACTCACAGGTAGATGAACAGGTTGCTGACGGGCAGGAAGCCCTCCATCAGGTGCGGGTACATGACGTCCGAGTTCACTGGCATCTGCGGGGAAGTGGCGCTGAGCGGCACCGACCCACCAAGCGGGCCCCCCCACCCCCAAGGAGAGCCCTCGGTCTCAGAGCGAGTCCCGCGGACTTCTCCGGGAAGGGGAAGCGCGACCCACAGCCAGACGTGCACACGGACCAGGGCTGCTGTCAGCGGCGGGGACCCTGGGGTCGCCGGGTGCTCACGAGCAGTCCCCGCGGCGGGGGACAAGGCAGGGGCTGGCTCCCGTCACGGACGCGCAGCACAGCCCACCAGCTGCTCCCCGGGCGCCGTGACCCTCGGGACAAGCCCAGGGCTGGGGGCTGCCCGCCTGACGCTGGGGACACCGACGGACACTCTGTCTCTGCGCATCTCCCAAGGACCCGCCCGTGAGAGGCAGGACCTCCCCGCCAGAACTCCCCAACCCGCGAGGGCCCCGCCGCCCGAGTGCAGCTGCTCGGCCCCCAGCGCCACCGCCCCCCACTCCCCCCCCGCCCCGTCCGAGCGCCCGCGGCCCCGCACCCACCATGTAGAAGTGCTCCAGGCGCGTGCCGTACACCATCTGCAGGGCGCGCAGGTAGATCATGTGCAGGACCTCGGGCTGCGGGGGCAAGCGCCTGTCAGTGACGCGGCCGTGCTGCCCCACAGCGGGGCTCCTGCAGCAGAGGACCCCAGACAGCGCCCTCCACCGCTCCGCGTTCCGGAGCCCCCGCATGCTCGCCAGTTCCCGCAGAAGCGGTGCGGGGTCAGGGAGGTGGGCCGCTCGAGCTCAGGGGGCGAGAGCAAGGCTGCCCGAATCCAGGCCAGCGACCCCCCCACCAGAGCGGGGGCGGGTCATCTTCCACAGGGGGGCCCTGGGGACCCTGGGGCGGTCTGTCCTTAGAAAAGGGAAAGGCCGCCCGCCCGCTGCACAGACCCCGGGCGTGCGGCGTCCGCAGGCGTCAGAGCCTGGCGAGCACTGAGTGGGGCTCAAAGGTCAGAGGGCAGCACAGGACTTCTGGAGTCTCGTCATCTACGGTCCGGTTTATTTCTGACTTTCAGAGAGGGGGAGGGAAGGGAGGGAGGGGGAGGGAAGCACCAGTGTGCGAGAGACACTGTCGGGCCACCTTCCGCACGCGCCCCGACGGGGACCCGGTCCGGCGACCTCTAGGCCCGGGGGGCTCGCCCAGCCGACCCCACAGACAGGGGTGTTAGCTGTCCCCCAGCACTGGCCTGGGGGACCCGCTTCGTCCGCAGGCTCGTTTACTCCGAGAGCCGCCCTCTCTCACTTTAAAGAACTGAAGGGGCCCCGCGATCAGGAGGCTGAGTTCCGCATCATAAACCAGGCGGGTCGCCCTGTGCCGCCACCTCACGACCAGCGCGGGAAGCTCGAGGGGCCTCCAGGGCTCTCTGTGTCACGGAGGCCGGTCGTCCCCCCGGTCACAAGCGCAGGCACAGAGAGGAACGCCTGTGAGAGCAAGTCAGCCCCCTGGGGCGGACGCCGGAGGACCGTTAACCTGGGAGCCTCCCAGGAGGGCTGCTTCTCCCGCTCCTTGTGCTTGGGACCCCCCGAGAGCGTCCCCTGCAGACCCTCCCCACCAGCGACCCTCAGAGCGCCCTCCAGAGACATCGGGAAACGTGATGCAGGTCCGCGTGCCTGGGGCTCGAAAGCCTTTTCTTCTGGAAGACAAGGACCACGCGGCAGTCGCCGCGCTCAGAGGTGCAGGAGCGGGGCCTCCGCGCTGAAACCACCGGCCCGGCTGGAGCCTGTGTCTGGGGCGCCACGCTCGCCCCCAAGACACACCCGGCCGCCAAGCCTCCCCGCTCACCTTCGGGTTGGGGTAAAGGTCAGTCTTGGAGAGGTTTTTGCCGTCGGGCCCCGTTAGGATCTTGTTTCGCACGTGGGTCACAATCTCAGCCACATTGTATCTGGGGAAGGACAAGGTTTCCATCCCGGAGGTCTGCCGCGGGCCTGCAGGGAGAAGAGCCGGTCAGAGACACGGAACGGCGGCGGCGGGATGCCCCGCAGTCAAAACGAGCTGTCAAACCGCAGTGACGCTGGAGCCGGAGATCCGGCCTGGAACCCTGCGAGACGTCACAACCCTGCGTGACGTCACAACCCTGGCTGCCGCGTGACAGTGCTTGTGACGTCACAGAACGCCGGGCTGCCCAGCGAGGCCCCCCCCTCCCGGTTCGCGGCAGCAGCGGTGGGAGCCGTGGAAGGAGCGGCCGCCGCCCAGAGGGCGGCACCTGCCAGCGCCCCTGAGGACCCCGCTCCCGGGGGAGGCAGCAGGCCCCCGGGCTCCGCTGTGCGCATGCTCAGTCCCGCAAGCGAGCAACACCTGTGCCGCTCGCTCCCCGCTCCCCCGGGAGACCAGCTCTCGTCCACGTCTCCTTGAAATGGGACGCTGACCCCGAGCACGACCGTGCGACGTGGGCGGCCACCCGGGCCCTGCTCGCCCCACGGGGGACCGGACAGACACACGGGGCACAGCTGCGTCCGCGCGACCCGCGGCCACCGGCCCAGGACCTGCCCGCGCCCGCTCGCCTGCCCGCACCGCGTCGGGGGCGGACACGCCGCCGGGGGGAAGGCCGGCCCGGGGAGCCGTCCGGTTCCCAGGGGCTCCGGGGCCTGGAGGCCCCTCCCGCACCCGGTTTCCGCCTGTGAGAGTTCGGTTCCGACCCGCTCGTGGGGGGCGGGGCCGAGCACCGGCGGGCCTCGCTCTACCTCGCGGCGCCTCGTTGCGCTTCGCAGGGGTCGCGCTTCGCCCCCAAACTGCAGGCGGCAGGAAGGCGGGGGCTCCAGGGCGGCAGCCCCCCTCCCCCACGACCGCCCGGGTCCCCCCGCGGTCGCAGCCCCTGCTCGCGGCGGGGAAGGGGCCGGCACAGGGACGCTTCGGGGCGGCGCGCAGCCGCGCCTCCGGCCACCGCGGGGCTTTCCCGCCCGAGGCTCGGCTGAGGCCGCGGCCCCCGGGCGACGTCGGAGCCCCGACCAGCCTTCCGGACGCGCCGCCGCCGGGGACCGTGACCCCGCAGAGCCGCCCGCCCCGCCCCCGCGGGCCCCCGCCGCGCTCACCGCGCGCGCCGCCGCCGCCCCGGGAGACGCCGAGTCCGCAGAGCCGCCGCGCGCCCAGCCCCGGACCGCGGTCCCGATTTGAAAGCCCCGCCTGCCCGGGAGCCCCGCCCCTTCCGCCCACTTCCGGTAACGGTCGCGGCGGCGGCCGGTGGGGCTCAAAAGACTCCGGCTGCGCGGACTGCGCGGGCGTCGGTCGGAATCGCGCTCCGCAGAAAGTGGGGCCGGGGCCGGGGCCAAGGGCCGGGGCCGGGGGCGGCGGGGTGCCGCGAGCTCGCGGCTGGGTTCGTGGGTGCAAAACCCCTCCGCGGTCCGGGGTCGGACTGGCCTTCGCACAGCGTTCCTGCACTTAATTATGAACGGACAGCCAAGCAGGCTCAAGGCTTTTGAGTACTTAGCGTTGCACTTAGTAGGTGCACAGGACGTGCCTGCGGAGTATTTCCTGTTTGGGGCACCTGGTGGGGCTGCAGCTTCGCCGGAGACGCACCGGGACTCGCAAGAGCAAATCCCGGGAGCGTGGCGCGTGCGCCGCGCAGCCACTGGGTGGCGCTGCCGCCCCGGCGTGAACCCGACACCCGGCAGTTTGGTCCCATTTCCTTCCGCGCGTGAACAGAGTCAGGCTGTCCACGCCGGACGCAGGGTTCCGTTCCGGGTGGGACGATCAGTGTGAATGAAGCGGCTTGGAAACGCGAGGTTAGCTCTGGGGCTCCGGAAGGAGGACGGCGTTGGATTCAGGTCACCTGTCCGCCTGCTCCATCCCGCCGCGTGTTCACTTTCACTCGTGGATTGAGAACTGAGGCTGACAGCGCGTGAAGGAGTCACACGCAGTTTTCCGTTAGAAACGTTAAAATGCACGTCCTGTGCGAAGCGCATTGGGGGTGGGCTGGAGACCAGGTCCCAGGAGGCTGGACCGGGGCCCGGTGGACTCCGCCCCACTGAGGTCTTCTCCCTCCGCTTCCCCCGGGAGTTTCGTGATTTTGACGTGAGCCGTGGAGAGAACCTGGGGAGCTGATGACCCTCGGGAGCTGATGAAAATATTTGCCCAACCTGACTTTTTTAGTATAAGTTTTCTGCTCTGGGTGTTTCAGCAGCCGTTTTACATTGCCCTGTGGTCTGCCCACTTGTTCCAGGGGAGCTACTGAGATTTGGGGGGGAAATGTTAATGTTCATGCACATCAGTGTTAAGGTTAATCATTTATCACACAAAGTTTGAAACAAGGGCAGTTCCAAAAACTGGACCCAAGGATGGCAGTGTCCCAAGTCAGACGGTGTCCCCGGGGGATAACCGGCCCCCCGTCCTGTGGGGTCCTCGGTGCCCTGGTCTCTGTCCCCGACGGTCAGCCCCCGGGGGGAGGAGCCCTGGGGGGAGGTCACGTCGAAGTTCCCGTCCACTTCTCATGGCTCCGAATCCCGTTTTCTATCAACAAACGGAGGCCAGTTTTCTCAAAACCTTTCTGTGTAAAACCAAGTAACATCTAATTTCATCCTTAGTATTTGGACGGAAAATAAAGTCAGTTTTCACACACCCCCCTCCACCATTTTTTAAGCAGGCTCAACCTGGAAAACAGGTGGCCCACACAAATTCCAAACTGGTACCTGAGTAGCGTTGCTGGGGTCACCCACCCACTAAGATGCGTTGTGTTTACAGTTTGCACACGGCGCTTAATGGTAGCACCCACAGCTCCCATTCCTGGGAGGTGCCCGAGGTCCTCCCTGAGTTACTGCACTCACTTCTCACCGCAACAGCAGAGAGAAGGGTCTGTTTCCACTTTTCAGACGAGGACCCGAGAACAAGCCCCTTAGGAACACTCAGTGGGCTCACGGTCACACGCCCAGGAGGCCGATGGGCCGGAACCCGAACCCAAGCAACGGAGCGGCAGAAGCTCCGGCCTCGGCTACCCACCGCGCTGCCTGCTGTCGAGCCCCCAGCACAGGGGGTGGGCCAGTGGGCACATTTGTCACCTGCAGGGATGGGACCCCGAGATGCCTTCTGGCCCCAAGCACCTCCCACTGCACGCGCGCACACGCACATGCACACGCACCAGCTGTGAACAGAGACCCCGGGGGGCAGGCGGTTCTCGTGGGAAGGAGTTGGCTCATCGGTTGTGATCCACCTGCCGAGCTCCGTGGTGGTGTCCCCGTGGTGGCGTGCGGGGGGCCGGCAGCCCCTCGTCCTCTCGCCCACTCCTCTGGCCCCCACCGTGGCCGCGTCTGGGGTCTCTCCCGGCCCCGGCCTCCCGGGACCGAGACGGCCGCCAGGAAAAAGGAGGTCCCAGGTTCTCTCCGTTTCCTTTTATCTCCGCCGGAAGCTTCTCGGCTTCGCTGTCCGTGGACCGCCAGCGGCCCCTGGTTCCGCGCTTCAGCTCGGCCCTCGATGGGTGCTTTCCGCGCGACCCGCTTCCTCCGCCCTGAGCCCTGCTCTCCCGAGGGAGCCCCTGTGTGCTCCCCACACGGACGGAGTCCGCGCTGCGTGGGCCTCACTCCCTAGGGAGAGACCAGACTGCGTCCTGCTGAGAGACCACGCCCGCCCTGCGGGCGAGGACTGTGTAGTCCCTTACTGCCCCCACCCACTGCAGGGCCGTGGTCGTGTGGGGTGACGGGGCGTCTGGTTCCGTGCCGCCAGGATTTCGTTCCGGGCTCAGACACGGGAGCCGGGGGGCGGCGGGCCGGTTCGTCCCGAGGCTGTGAGGAGTCTGGCCCCGGCTCCTGGGGGTCTGCTGGTGGCCTGTGGGGCCTCGGCTCACAGACGCGTCACCCTGACCCCTGCTCCATCTTTGCACCCGTCTGTGCGCGACGGGGTCCCCTCTCTCACCAGACGCCAGTGACAGCGGATCAGAGCCACCCTCACCACCTCACCTTAGCCCGACCACCTTCACAAAAGACCCTGTTTGCCCACGAGGCCCCATCCTGATGTGCTGGGGCGAGGACCCCCCATGTCTCTGGAGGACACAGTTCCGCCCCCGGCTGCCGGCTCGCCACAGGGTGGGCCAGAAGCCCTCCCCAGCAGGACCTATAAATAGCCAGAGGGCCCCAGCAGGGCGCGTGTGCCAGCTCCCCGCAGGGCAGAGTCCAGCCCGGGTTTAAATGGAGCCCTAATCCCTCATTATGTTTCCATCACCGGTGTCCTCTGAGGGCCACACGCTCGGCCTGTGTGATTCATTCCATTTCATTTTTCTTAGAACTCCTAACAGGCGGGCCTGGATAGCTTCAAGGGGAGTAAACAGAACACTGACACTCTGGGTCTCGGTCACAGAGACGAGGGAGGTTACATGCCCCAGAGCACAGAGGGCGGCTGACTCACTGGGCTGGGCCGAGCCCGTCCTGACACTGTGCATGCTAAGTGAACCCACCGAGACGCCGCGGAAAGAGTGTAACAGAGTATCAGCCTAGAAGCCACGCCCAAGCCCCGAACTGCAGACGGGGCGGTGCCTGGCCAGGGGCCAGCGGTGGGAGGCCAGTTCTGGTGACGTGTCTCGGGACGGCACTTCCCTGAGCCTGCGGGACAGTCGCCGGCCCTTGGGACCGCACACGTGAGACCAGACCACGCGTGCGCACAGACTCACGGAAAGCAGTGGGACGGGGCAGCCTGGAAAGGGCCGCTGGGCCCCGAGGAGGGCGCCGCCCGGGCCGGTCTCTTAGGAGAAACCCGGTCCTTAAGGAGAGGCCCCCAGGGAGGGGGCGGGGCTCGCTCATCTCCGACGGCTGTCTCGGGGGTCCCCGCACTCTCTAAGGCCGGCTCTGCGCCGTACCCACCCCCCCCCCCGCCCCCGATCTGGAGGACGCGGAGGAAACGCTGCCTGCCAGCCTGCGCTGTTCGGCCGGACGCCTCGTTCAGTCTGAGCTTCGACAAGGAGCGGGGACTCCTGAAACGCAGCGCGTGCACCGTGCTTGCGTGTTTTGCATATTCAAAGATTGCACTTAAAATAATTCTATTTGAAATTCAAGTGTAACTGCGTTTTAATTTCTTTTTTAAATCGGCCACCCTATTAAAAGCTGGGCTGTGCGGAAGAGAAAGCAGGAACCAGGCGTAGATTCCGCTCCAGAGCCCAATGCGACTCACGTACAAATAACCGAGTTGCCAAGTGAAAGTGAGGTTTACGAGAAACCTGCCGCGAGAACGCCGTAGAAGTGCCCGAGAGGAAGAGGGTCCTTCCAGCCCTAGAAGCCGGGGCCTCGTCTGGCTGGGCCGGGAGCGTGGCAGGACCGGGGGTGGGGGGCGGGGGGTGGGGCGTGGGGGGGCGGGGGGCAGGGCGGGCCACAGCAGAGTGCGAGGACCCCGGCTGGTCGCCCACTTCGCTGCGCCCCGGGCACGGGACAGGAATTAGTGGCAGCAGACCCCGGAAAGGGGGGTCCCCCAGCCCAGGGGCCGGCTGGCGAGGTGGGGGTGAGGCGCGAAGGCCGGTGAGGCCGCACCGTTGACGGGCTGCCTGTGGGGTTTGGGAGCAGGCGGCAGAGCGCACCTGGGAGACCAGGAGGGGGCGAGGGTCTGTCTCCCCAGACCCCGACCTCCAAGGAAGGGTTTGTGCACAGAGGAAAACTCGGGATTTGAACCTGCGCAGGAACTGCGTGGGGAGGCGCTAACGTGGGAAATCACACACTTGGGCATGAAAACATTCGGGTTCCCATCGCACGACCTGACCAGGGGACGCCCTCTCGGCTGGCCGCCGCTGTCCCAGAACCCGAGTGTCCTTTTAAAGGGAAGCACGGACTGGCTTTCCTGCCCGCAGCCCCAAGTAGGTAAGGCAGCTGTCG